TTTCATTTGTTTCTCCGCCCCCTGCCCCTCTCCGCGATATAGCCGTTCGTTCGCTTTTAAATGATACTTTAGTACATCTCCCACCCAACGAGTCGTTATAGACAATTTTGACGAATGGTCGCGGCTTCAACGGCCAAGCGACGTGGCTAACGTAATTTTAGAATTTTCTTCCGAAAACATATTACAATGGCATTATTCGTACAGCTCGTTGCCCAAAGATTAATTTCACACGGCACTCCGCTCCCAAATGCGCCTTCACACGCTATCCTCTTCACAATAATATCGCAATAACTGCACTAACGGCATTAAGGCTCGATATCGACGGACCGACACCTACAGCGGATACTTCGTGTCGGCAGCGAACGTTCGCTGAAAACCGTGTGATTATGGCGAATCAACATTCTCGTTTACGTAAGGAAAATCGGCGCCGTCGAGGATCGTGGAAAAGCGCGATATTTATTGGGCAGTGTGTATACCGGCTGTGAAGTTAGGCCCCCGGGATTATTTGGCAAAAACCTTCGTGCCCGTAATTACAAAAGGCTAACGCGTGCTGATAGGGCGCTGAGTCCATCCTTCCCACCAATTCGCCAAATCGCGAGTCAGACAGGCGAGAACTATTTATTAAAAAGTGCCCGCGTCAGTAGCGACGTGCTACATCGGGAGGAAAGCGATAACACGCCAGACCTGCGCGTTCTGTCCAGTCATTAAGCCACGAGTCCCTTCTCCCTCTCTTACACACTATGACGTAATATATATATACGCATCGCGCGTTCCCGTCCTTCCACTCCTTTTCGCGCTTACGTTTTTCCGCTGCTGGCTAACGCGCTCGCATATTCGGGGCGCACACGAGGAAGCTCGTGTTCGGCAACTTTTTCATTTCATTTTCCTTTTACACCGTCGCTTTTCCCTGCACTTTGGTTACTTTCGTTCCATCACGCAAGCTCATTTGCGCTCCCGACTTTTCGTCCTTCTTTGGCTTTTCAAGCGCTTTCTCCACTCGGCTCTTATTCCTGATACTTCCGAATTCATCCACCTCCCGCTCCGTCGTCTCTTTCTCTCTCACATACTTTCTCTCTTTTCTACTACTAAATCTCCTACTTATTTATCTGTTGCAACGTTTTCTCATACCTTATCTCCTCTCTTTTAATTTCTCTCATAATTCTACCCTTCTTTCTCCTCTCTGACCATTCTCGTTTCTCTCTTTCCTCGCATTATGCTACTTCTTCCCCATGCATTTACACAGAGTCTCTCTTCCTCACTCTCTCTCTCTCTCTCTCTCTCTCTCTCACTCTTCTGCTCGTACGCACCACGCACGCACGCAATGCCTTTCTCCTTTTCTTTATCTATATTGCGATCCTTTTCTCTCTCTCCCTCTCTCTCTCTCCCTCTCTCTCTCTCTCTCTCTCTCTCTCTCTTGCCCGTTTACATGTTCGTGCTCGCATCTCGTTCTGCACGGACTATTAATAGTGCATTCATTATTGCTGTAAATAAGCCGCCTCTTTAATATCCACATGCGCCTGCAACTCTCACCCACACGGGGCTTACAACGCTCAAGAGATGTACGGTCCTTCGTTTTATGCTACAAGAACGAAAGATGGAGAGATGGAAAGAGAGAGAGAGAGAGAGAGAGAGAGAGAGAGAGAGAGAGAGGGAGAGAGGGATTCTGCACAACTCTGAGTGGAGGTTGTGTGAACGTTGGCCGTAGCGAATTCGCATTCCCCGTGTTTTTGCTTATACGTACTTTAATCTATAGGATTTTCTTTTCTTTTGGGCAATTGCTGAATAGGATGGAAGCGAATGCGCTACATCCTCACATTAAGGAGCCGCGGATGCTGTTATTCGATTACGTGGATTGCATTTGACCCATCGAGAAATTTCATTTTTAAACTTTTCATTTATTGCTTGCAAACTATGTGCAGCGATTTACGAAATTACGAAATTAACCCTCTACATATTCAAAAAAAATGATAATAATTAATTACTCGTGCAAAAGACTTATCGGGCTACGAAAATTTACTTAACGATTTACTGCCCGATTTTTTCTTTTAATGAATAGTAATAAGTAATGGCTCTATTCAATTTATCAACGATAAATATAATTTCGCATGGATTTGGACATTATAATGCTCATAAAGCACCTTGTCGAAATTTATTGATCAAGCGAACAATAGCGTTCACGTCGTTCACGTAGCCATAAGAACATTTAACAAAGTAATGCCTCACTCTCTCTCTCTCTCTCTCTCTCGCACACATACACATACACTCATGCTCTCTCAAGCTCTTTTTTCTAATTAAAATTATCGTGTAATATAATTTAACGAAATATTTATTTGTTTTAAAAATCTCTTCGTCCCGTATAATGTGTGTTTTGTTGCCCAAAGGCAAATGGTTTCCAAGCATACATTAAACTACTTCTTGAAATATAATACATTTGTCTTCTCGAGAAGACGTGGCTAGTTCATAACCAAGATTGCATCACACCCGGCATTTTCGGTATTTAAATTTAACATATCGAAGCAACGCATTTACAGAATGTGAAATTTCACTTCACCTCAACATTTTATCGCCCTATGCATTATTAGCTTGGCGTTGCGTTTCGTTCATTAGCCGCAAACGAGGCGGCGCTCGATTCAATTGCCTCAGCGTCGCGATAAGGCCAGGAGCCCGACTCGAGCCAAAAATATTCGCAATCTCGTATATAAATAATAATAATAATAATAATAATAATAATAATAATGATAATAATGATAATAATGATAATAATAATAATTGTGTACAGAGAGATCATAAATTTTTTCTGCCCCGTCGGGCTTGCTGGGAACGGCACTGGCCCGGGGCGAGAAGTGCCTCTCGCTCTCTTCGCCGCCGAAACGGCACGTCCGAATGAGTCAACGAGGTTAAACCGGCAATTTGCGGCGGAATTGAGACGCGCGTAATAAAGGCGAAACAGTGCGTGGCTAAAGTCGTCGCGGGCTCGACTCCCATTCGTGCGCGCATTCGCGCTTTTACCCCGGGAACGAGCGGCAGACCAGCGCCGATAGGTTCGCGCACGGGGCCAATATAAACCTCGATAAATCGGCGCTGAAACGACGCGTTGCCTCGCGTGGCGGGAATCGCCCTCGAGAACGGATTTATCGCGCTGGGCTCGATGAGGGAATCGCGCGCCTCGGGAATTAATTGGATCGGCGGTAGTGCCGTCGGTCACGCGTCGGTTATCGCCGCGTCTTCCAAGTCGCGCGACGGCGACACTCGTAAATACACGCGGGCTCCTACGTTTAATGCCAGGGGTCACGAATTCGTAATAACACCGTCGGGGAAAATTATTTACGGCCGCGATCGCCTATATTATGCCCCCGCGTAAGAGTAAATACGAACGAAATAGAGCCCGGGATGCTACATGTGCCAAGTGGCGATCTCGATGCAATTGCCCATATGAATCCCCGCCCGGCCATTCCGAATAATTAACGAGCCCAACGCGCCTTTTCTTTCCCCCTCAACCTTTCGCCCCCCCCCTCCCCGTCGCCTTCTCCTTTCTTCTCCTATCATCTTCTTCGTCCTCCTCTTTCTCTTCTTCTTCGTCCTCTTCTTTTCGTATATTTATTGGGTCCGCCACATTCGCCCACAGCTGTGTGCGCCCGCCTTATAAACTCCGGAAAACAATCCGCGAGCTCGTACGGGGAGAAAGTTTTTTGTCGCCCGTTAACGCATTTAAAACCCCCGTCCCTTCGTCATTCAGCGAGCCGGTTCGTCTCTCCTCCACCTCCGCCGCTGTCTTCCATAATTATCGTCGATACACGCCGATTAATTCGGTCCGATAACGCGAGCTAATCCACTCGCGTGCCTGCGCCCCAATTATTCGTTATTCGACCATTCGTCAATCTCGAGGTGGGTAGAGGGGGGAGGGGTGGGGGGGAGGATAAGGTTAGCGAATTATTGGCAGTAATCTTAAAATGGGACGGGTTTCGCGCGCCCGATCTCGGCTCTATATAGCGAATTTTGCAGATCGCTCGGGCAAGATGCGCGATTAAAATGAATGGCGCGATATTGAATGTCGAATGATTAATGATTCGATTTCTTTAATTGCGAGGCGCGCGCTCGCACGCACACGGAAACCGCGCGTTCACGCGAAATTAAATTAAAGCTGCGATACTCTTTGCGCCATGATTATTCGAATTCAGAATACAATTAGCCTGCCATTAACTGGCGCATGCTATCTTTATTTCATTTATATTTAAGTCTTTCTTTTATATCTATGCTCCCGAAGGATATAGTCTACGACGTTTATCTTGTTTTTATTGCAAAGGATGATTCATGACGCGCGCCTTGAATCATGAAACTGCGGTGATAATTAATTCTTTTTTAGCATTACTGAGTATATTCGAATGCGCAAATTCCCCAAATACAATTTAAGTATTTTAATATCAAGATATTAACACCACGGCCATAAGGAAGTTCGTATATATATATATATATATATATATATATATATATATAAGTATTTAATATATTCTTGGAATCATATTAATAAAATGATGCTATTCTCGAGCGAATGCACTTGCTGCAGATACGTTCCGATGTAATTTAATATGTTTTTGAATTGTCAACATATTATAAACAAGTTACGCCTTGGCTATATAAATACCCAACGAATTCATTAGCTCCTTAATAGAGTTTTATTACATCATCGTTGTCATCGTCGTCATTAACCCCTCATCGCCCTTCCCCCTTATGCTCAAATACTCCGCTCACCCACCCACTCGCCCATCCAACGACGTCAAAGATAACTTCATTATGGGACAATGCTTGTGCGGCTAATGTTAACTCGCTCTCGCGATCACCTCTTCTTTCCTCCGCGCGGCATCTTAGCAAACGCCGCCGCCGCCGTTGCGGCCACCGATCACGCCACAATAATGTAGTACGGCAGTGGGTTGTAAATGATTGGGTGTAGGTGTAGTGAGAAAAATCCCTCTAATCTTGTATCTCGCATTGATTTATTGCAGGTACGGTGAACGCGAACGGCGAGACGAAGCGCCAGAGGACCTCGTACACCAGGTACCAGACCCTCGAGCTCGAGAAAGAGTTCCACTTCAATCGCTACCTCACCAGGCGACGCCGCATCGAGATCGCGCACGCGCTCTGCCTCACCGAGCGCCAAATCAAGATCTGGTTCCAGAATCGACGCATGAAGTGGAAGAAGGAGCACAAGATGGCCAGCATGAACATCGTGCCGTACCACATGGCGCCGTACGGCCACCCGTACCAGTTCGCCCCGCACCCGGGCCAGTTCGCGCACTTGGCCACATAGGACGAGTTCTCGCCCGCCGAGCTCGGAGCACACGCTGTCCGGTTTCCCGGCATGTACGGCGAGCAGAACTTCTAAGCGGGTCAGGATCCTAGGGGCACGGCTCGCATCGCAGCGTCGCCGAAGCCCCGGGCCCTAACCCGACTTGTCCTCTCTTTCGCTCTTTCGAGCGCGACGGGGCACAAAGTACCGGCCCGCCCGATCGACCCGCCAAGTCACCGCGGCTCGATCGCGGTCCCGCGGACGCCTCCGTCCTCGGGTCCGATGCCCTCCCACGGTCTCTCTACGATCAGCCGCTCTCCTCTCGTCCCAACGCCTTCTAGCCCTACGCTTCCGCGCGCCCCCTTGGTTTCTTCTCCGCCGTTGTACGCGACGATCGGCCTCGGAATTGGTCAATTGTCTCGGCAATTGAGCCTCGGCCGCTGAGCAAACGTCGATGATGGAAATTGATTCGAAGGACGGGAGACTCGTCCACTTGTACTTGTAAATATCACGCTCCCCTGAGCTGAAAATAAGGGAATAGCGGATCGTTGGGGGTACACTCGCGATCGCTTAGAAAAAATCGATATAATCGCAGCAGCGATAGAGACGCGCGATCAATAATAAGACGTGGAAGAGGAAAATAAAGGACGACGATACGCTTGGGACGAGACGTGCATGTGTAGGAGAGTCGGCGAATGTCGGAGAGGGAGGAGAGCCGCTCGTGAGGAATCCCCGTGGGCGAGCCGAGTGCAACGCCCCTTAAAAAAATGAGCGAAAGCAGCATGGTAGGGCCATATAAAGGCGCAGTTGCCCTGGTTTGCGAATCGCATCATCGCGTTCGAAGTCGAAGAGAAGCCAAAGTTTCTGCCAGCCGTGCGGCCGCACGTGGTAAATGAAAAAAAAAGCACACACGATAGACTGGACGCGCTCCGAGAGACTCTCGATATCTTGCGCGCGCCGCCGCCGCCGCCGCCGCCGCAACCGCCGCCGCCGCCACCGCCGCCTCCGCCGCTCGTAAATTATATACAGTATATGCGCACGCGAAACGACAGGATCGAAAGATAATAAAAAAAAAAAAGAAAAAAAAAAAAAACAAGGACGCCCCGACGAATGGGAACGCGAGGATATTCGCCGAAGGTATATACGGCGGGCGAAGTGAGCGAGCGAGCGAGCGAAAGCGCGCGCATCGAGAGTCCGCCTCAGCGGGCGAGGATAAACCGAAACTCTAGTGATTAAGCGTATTAGCGAAGTTTTAAGGGATAAATTAATGGAAATGAAGGAAGGAGTATGCGGACTCGCACTCTTAGCGCTCGCACTCGTCTTTATGCGTCGCTGGGATGACAGGCACGCGCACGCGCGCATGCCCATACGCATAAGCGCACGTACACAGGCGCGCTGTCCCATGAAAATGTACTGGACCGGCAAAGTCGTGTGCGTGCACACTTAAAGCGACTATGAAGATGGTGGAGCACGAGCCGTTGTATCTCGGGCGAGTGTGCGAGTCGTAGCCTCCGTATCTTTTTGCGTGTACGAGTAATAACTGTGGAGACGAATTAAGCGCAAAGGCCAACGTCTCTTGCAATACTCTCAAATCTCTAAATTTTTTCGGAGTTCAATTGTCAATTTCCAGAGGAGACGGGCGACATCTCAGCCATCCGACTTGGACGTTAATTATTTTTTATTCTTCAATAATTGTATACCTCTTCGTCTTTCCAATAATGCACGCGAATGCGAAATCTATTTAGAATAATAATAATAATAATGACAGAAAAAAAATTTACGAAGAAAAGAACGCTACGCGCGAGAAACGAATGAAGGAACATTTTTTTCATTTTCAAATACGTGAAATTAAACTCCTAAAAAATTGAGATAAATCATTACTAATTTTCTCAATCTTTCTTCGTTACACCATTTTCATTATGTATTATTTTGTTCGAGTACTTACCGGTCTTTTACAATTTGCATCTCTTTATTTTTCTCTTTTTCCACTTTCATGGTACATCTTAATCTGAGCGCCCCCTTCCACCACAACCCCCATACACATTCTCTCTCTCTCTCTCTCTCTCTCTTTCACTCACTCACTCTCCCTCACTCTCTCTCTCTCTCTCTCTCTCTCTTTCACTCACTCACTCTCCCTCACTCTCTCTCTCTCTCTCTCTCTCTCTCACTCTCTTCAACTATCCATTTCTATCCCTTTAAAGTCTGAAATTGAGAGTGGATAAATGTTATCGTATAGGTAAATAACGAAGATGAATTTATAAATATTATGTATAGATGAGTATAAAAAAATAAAATAAAGGAGTAATAAGAATGGAAACGATAACAATGCAATATCTCGATTAACATAGGCAGGAAGGGGCGCAGGCACGCACGTATATGCCTCCTTTAGGTGTCTGTGCGTGTATGCATCCACATGATGTGATGTAAATGCGCGCGCGCGTGTGTGTATGTCGAGGGAAACATAGTTTCCACATGCACGTTATTATTCTTACTCTTTGCGTAAAATAGGAGGTAAGGTGCCTGCTAATGCTCAAAGTGTTCTTGGCAATTGATATTTTTGCGAACGGAGAAACGAAAATGTGCGCGCTACGAATCGTGAGCACGAAGTCGTTTTAAGACAGACCGAAAAATGAATAATGTCTGGACGATTTGCGTGGACACGGTTTCTTTTATTATTCTCTTCTACTCCTTTCGGCCATGCGAAACGAAAATAAAAAATAATAAATCTATAAAAAGAATAAAAAAAAAAACAACAAAAACAAAAATGTATTGTTTGAGTGTTATTTATGATTAGAATATTTATATTATGACATTATCGATTCAGCGTCGTTTGAAATTGGTGTGTAAAAATTTAAAAAGCAAAGCAAAGACGACTAAAACATCCGATTATCCGTAAAATGCATTAATGCCGTTTTTTCTGCCACTCGCAAAATATTTACAGATTACATGTATAATACGTTATGTGCGTTTGCGTCTGTAAACTTTTCGTCCACGACGACTAACTTTAGCCACTTACTTTCTACCTCGCTCTCTCTCGCTCCCTCCCCTCCCCTCCCGCCCTCCCTCCCGCCCAGCCCCACTGTCTCTCACCCCGTATCTCTCTCCGCTGTGCTTTTTCGCTTTCTCTACGTCCTGCTCTTTCCATAACTCCGCACATAAGTAATAGCCACAGGTTCTTTTCGCATCATTGAACGTTTGTGCGTGTAGGTGCACGAGCTGCCCGATACACGTCTAACCGTCAATTTCAACGTTAATGACGCTCGAGCAGCTGAGGAACGCGTAACCACTATCTCTTTTGGACCGAGCTCGCGCGTTTTCATCGTAACGCCTCCAATCCTCGCTTCATCATCGACTTTGTACGATTCGCCTTAGCCGATTGGCTTTCTCCCGATACTTTTCCACTCGGGCCTATATTTTTCTCCTATTTCTTCTGCTGTAACTCGCACCTTCGAGCGTACATCTGTTTTCCTCCGGATAAACAGTTGGCGCCACATTTCATCCGAGCGTCCGAGCTCTTTGAAGCAGTCGAGTTGCTTTTAAATAACGACGGGCCAGAGGATTAATCGAGTTATCAGGTATTATCGTGCTCCACTCCATTACCTACGAGTCTATTGCAGCTGCTTAGCATTAAGTCGGAAACTACTTTTCCACTACTCTCGTATGAGCCTAGAAACATACATTTTATCACACCCTCAATCCTAATTAAATATATATATATATATATATATATATATATATATAATAAATTGTATCCGAGGGGGCTATTAATCATCGTTCGATGGTTGAAAGCGCATTTTCAAACAAATAGGTGTAAAGTTGTACAGAGTTATTACGGGACGTACCGTTGTTTTCCGAGCCACGCGTGCATGTGTCTTGCTAAATGGTAATGAGCATGGGATAGCATTCGGTGATGTTGAAATTGCGCGATCCTGGCTTGTAGCAATTCTCAATAATCAACTACCATCTTAAATCTTAAATGTTATTTAATAGAAAGAATTTTAAACCCAAACAAAAAAATTAACAAAAAAAAAAACAAAAGAAAACAAACAAAAACAATGAAAAAATAACACGAGAAAACCTCTAACTAATAAATTGTGCAATTTCAAAAGAAGAGAACTTTTACTTGTAATAAATCCACTTTATTTATTCCTAAATAAGGCGAATATTATTGAATTTATAGTTCTAATTTGTTGAATAGATCAATAAGAGTTGAAAGGTCTTATTCACAGGAGCGCACGAGTAGATTAACGCGAGTAAATTTAATTAAGCTGTTTGCGAGAACAAGGTTCCGGTATGTTTTGAAAAAAGGAAAAATGAAGAAAAAAAAAAAAGATTAAAAGAAAGAACGATAACGAACCTAAACTCGGTAACTCGGCCAGCGCACATGTGCAAAATATGCTCGCAGGAATAATTATATCATACCTATTAAACACATATGCGGGAAAAGGCCTCCGAGTCTGTCAGTCCATAATGCAGGTGTGCGTTTTGAATAAGAATGAACTGTAAAGTGCGCAACCGTCGAGCAGTAATAATAATAACAAAAGCAACAACGACAGCAACAGCAACAGCAACAGCAACAGCAACAGCAACAGCACCTACAACATTATGATTATTATTATTATTATTATTATTATTATTATTATTATTATTATTATTATCATTATTATTATTATCATCATTATTATTATTATCATCATTATTATCATTATTATTATTATCATTTGCTATTATTTGCTATTATTTGCTATTATTGATATTATTGCTATTATTGCTATTATTGCTATTATTGCTATTATTATTATCGTTATTATTATTTGAATATGTCGTAAAACGCATATGTGATATTTCGTAATGCGCCGTGTGTATTCTTAACTACGCTAAAGTTATTACTAACGGAGAAAACGAGGCGGGCGAGAGGAAAATGACAGAATAAAAGAGGTAATAAACTATTATTTGGTAATAAACATTGTATACGGAAGAAATGCGAGAGTGAAGGAGTAACGAGTAGTTCGTGTGCGATAAGCAAATTCGGAAGAATACAGGGAACTTTTATGTCTTGTAAGTGGTTAAATAAATATTGTATGACGTTCTCGAGAAATTTCATTAATAATTGAACAAAATAAAAATCAGAAAAAAAAGATATTAGTGTCGTGATGCGACGGGGGATGTATAAGAACGACATTAGAGGAGAAAATGCTGATCTGTATATAATTATGAAATAAGCGATATCAACGATGTTATTATTATATTATTATCGTGTCGAGTGTCGGAGGAATTTTAAGATAA